TTGTTAAAAAGAGTAGTTCTCGCATTTTTAAATTCTGGATACAATGCATCGAAAACTTCAAAGAAAAATCCCTAATTGAACGAGTCCAACAAAGACCTAGGATTCTCCACATGGTTCGGGACGCCAAAGATGTCTTTTCGATATTTGTGGTCCTCCTTGAAGGTGCTTTCGAACTCAACTCTTATAGTCTTGTTTTTCTTTGGATCATAAAAGTATGCCCATAACGTTTGAGCAGGATACAGAACCATGGGCATTATCACAACCTCACCATTAGGAGTGACACCAACGATAGAAGGGGTATCTTCTAATAGACAAGGGCCACGAGAATACATGAGAAATGATATCTTTGACCATTCTTGTTTCTCAGTTTGATCTTCCATAACCCACATCTCTGCAATATTATCGCTGTAACCGATACACCCTAATTTCCCTTGGTAATTTACTAGAGTCATATTCCGAAACTGATTCTTAGGTATCCCGCCGTGATCTAATAATGTCTCTGACCTAACGTCAAAACCCATCAATACATACCTATCTACTGTGAAATAGATTTTCCCATTGATGCAAACCCTAGGGGACCAATTCAGAGAGATAAATCGGTCAAAGCCTCGGATGTTCCTCCATTGCTTCTTTGGATCTCCCAATGTGAAAATTTGACAAGACACCGACTCTTTTTCCACCGAGCTGATAAAGCACAACACTTTGTATTGATTATAAACTGGATCATAACCAAATAATCCGTCCATAAAGCACCACCGTTTCTCCCTTTTTATCTCCGGTAATAATAGGGATTGTCTCGTGGTAGGATTGTGTATCACAAACTGATCGTAGCTCGACAAATAACAGATTAATCCGCGGGTGTATTGATACATCTTTTTGATAACAAACCCACTGTCTAATGTGTTACTGTCTTGTTCCGTAGATATGGGTTCTTTGTTCGTGCTTAAAAGGCAACCAGACAAAGAGAATACTGAGGATTTTAGCAACGGCCGGTCTAAGAAGACGAGTAGACGAGGCTTAGATAAAGACCAAGTCATGATTGAGTCGGTGATAAGAGATGACCATAGCTTCGATACACATTGGAACCTCACAGTTGACTTCACAGGGAGTCTAGAGAGTATCTCGACCGTTAGATCCAAAGGGACATGGATACCGTACGACTTTTCTATGTCACTGTGATGTTGTTGTTTTGGAGATGGTGAGGAAGTCTTCTTCTCTTGCCTTCCTCTCTTCATGATGTTTCGTGTTTCTCGTTTGTGAACTCTAAACGAGGAAAACACTAAAATATTTATTCGAAAAGAAAAACCCTAGTAGGGTTTATGCCTTTTCCTTTCCTTGTTATAATTTTACTGGAAATTCCAATGCATTAAAGTGATTAAAAGAATAATTTTTTTTATTATATTTAAAAAATAACTCAAAACTAAACACTTTTTATTTATTCCATTGTCACAACTCAGCAATGATATATAATGCTAGCACAACTTTGCTATTTCCATTTTCTATTCATAATAGAAATAGACAACTTATATATTTCATGTTCCTATTACAAATAGAAAACAGTATCCTAACCGAGTTGTTAGAGATTTCTTGGGTTTTAAGCTACTATTAAAGCTTATCCAACATGCATCTATCTTATTATATAAACTTTGTAAAAAATCTTTTGAGTTTGATTAGAGTTAGGTTTGCATATCCAAATCTTCAAATATTATAATATTTATTTAAATTCAGAGATATGGA